TCTTCTGTTATCTCATGACGTTTTAGTTGATATCAAGGGTACATTACTTGGGGTTTGCAACTACGGTGACATGATACCAAGATCCCGTTACAATCTCGCTCTCCGCATAAGTGTTTCAACTCAGAAAAATGCGAATGGGCATGCCCGGGGTAACTAGGATACTGGGATGTCCAGGTGGATCAAAATAGCTGCTCATGATATGATGGATTAGGATAAGTATATTCGATGTATTACATTTTTTCACTGTGAATGTGGTAATACATGTTTTATTGTTTTATTACAAACCGCCTATGTCATGTCAGAAGGTCGTAGCATCAGTCTCTCTATCTAAGAGATGAAACTTGAATGGGATCTTGGCATGATGTCACCATACAGTACTATGCGCATTGCAAACCCCAAGTAATGTACCTCTGATAATATATATTGTGTAATCTATTAACAAATTCCTGGTATTAATTTTGCAGGGTAGTAACTGGTTACATGTGCCTACTGATGGACCGTTCCAATGTATATCTGTTGGTGGTGGTTACAGAGTTTGGGGAATTGCTAAAGATGGATCTGTCTACCTGAGAAATGGGATAAATCCAAACAATGTCCCAGGTATAGTAGTTGACATGTTCAATGGTTTAACCCTCATCTGATCAAGTCACTGTAACAGTACACTTGGCTGGCAGGACAAGTTCAATATTGAGTACTAAAGTGTTTTTTTTCCACAACTTCACTTGCTGAAATTCATCTTTTTTTACAATTTAATTCTCTGCACCAACTATAGTTGTCATATACTGTAAAAGAGTTTATTATTCACTGGGTTTTAATTTTACTTATTTTACTGACTGGAAAATGCGCTAAATTAAAACCCAGTGAATATGTAAAATTGAGCATAGAACAGATTATCTAAATGATAAATCTGTGAATTTAAAACCCACTGAATATGCCTGAAATGCCAAATCAGCCTAGTGGAAATTAGTCATTTTTCAGTATTTCTGTCAATAATTAGTTTGCAACATATTAAATATATTCAGTGTAAATTGACAATTACTGAGGGACATATAAAATGAAAACTTTTACTGTTGAATGCAGCATGAAAGAAATGAAAGACTGTAAATAATGACAGATTTTGCACAGATTCATTGTAGACATGATTTGATATGCATTATAATACATTAACTTGTACTTGTCTTACAGGTGATTGCTGGTTCCACATATCCCCTCCACATGTTCCACTAAAACAACTCTCAGCTGGCAAGACATCAGTGTTTGCTGTAGATATTAATGGTGAGGCAAGAGGAAAGGAAGTAAATCAAATTCATCTGCAAGTACTTAGTGTTAATATCACTGTGATTCTGATGAATTTTTTTTTCTTTCAATTTCAGATGGTTTGTGGTTTCGTAAAGATATAACTCGTACCTTCCCAGAAGGCACTACGTGGATACACATTTGTAATAATGTATTCAAAGTTTCCGTTGGACCACAAAATCAGGTAAATGTCTTTATCGATAACACCCGCAATGTGATTGAACATGAATAATAAAATTCCTTGAAATTGTCACTCAGTTTCTCCACATAAATTAACACTATCAGTAGTTGCTAGACATCTTAGCTTCTATATACATCCAAATATTCACTGAGTTTAATGTGAAAAGCCAGGGTAACATGTATTTGAACATCACTAGTAGCATAGTGGTTATCACATCAGACTCATGATCAGTAGACCTAAGTTCAAATCCTACTTTAGTCTGAACATCAAAAGGGTCAACCCCTACCCTGGGTGAGTGTGCTTTGGGGGAACCTTGGTTATAGTCCGCAGGTGCTTGCTATTTGAACATGTTTGTACAGTTTTTCCTAATTATTTGGTTTTAAACAGTCCTGTTTTATTTAACAATGTTTGGTGATTCAGAAGTCATTTTGTTTTGAAAATTATACAACTATTCATGAGTTTATGGTGACCTCACTGCATAATCGCAGTGTATATTGGTAACTTTAATTTATTCACTGGGTTTTAATTTTGTGCATTTAGCTATTAGTCAAATAAGTGAAAATAAAAAAACGGAATTCATCAGCAAAATTTGTGTAAAACCAATAAGTGAGTGTTCTTTAGAGAGAAAACTTAATCTGGAAATTGAATGGAAGAAAATGTATAAAAGGTTACCTGAATTGAAACACAATCCAGAGAATTTCATTTCAAGTTATTTCATAATATACTGTATACAAATGACCATTTACACAAAGTAAATCCAGAACGCTTCTCTGAACACTTTTTTATGACATGTAAATTTACTGAATCCCTCTGGCATTCACACAGAGGTACTTGGTAAACTTTGTGTGATACTAGGGGACCCGGAGTACGATTGGCCGGTGAACTTCAATTGCTCTCTGGTCAGAAACCACATATACTACTCAAAATGGAAAAAACAGAAACCTAACTATGCAAATTTTATTAATTTACTTAAACATCATTTTCAAATTGAGAGTGCGATCGCCAAACAAAAAGAAAAAGAAACGTCACACAAAAAGAAGTGGTCTTCCCTGATACCATATTTAAAGTAACATCTTCATATGGATTACTTGAAGTGTCTTTTATCAGTGTATTTATGAAATGTATTACAGCCAAGGAAAGTTACAAAAAAAACAAAAAAAACAGTGAGTAATGGCAGTATGACAACTTAATGGTCATTGCAAGCTCAAGTACATCGGACATTCACTGAGGTTGCCAAAATAACAACATGCATGTATTTATATTGTGGATAGTATCATCTCTTTGTAATGTCTTATTCTTGTAGGTGTGGATACTAGCTGCCAAAGTAGATGCATCTAGAAAAACTGTATGTAGAAGACTCGGTGTCAGCTCGGATAACCCAAAAGGAACTACGTGGGATCTTGGAATTGGGGTAGGACTAAATTTGTGATTTGTGCATATTTCGTAGATAATTCTACATCGCATTTTGTCGGTTTGAAACACAGTTACCAGAGAAAATAAAAATACAGACAAATTGGAGAAAAAGAATGTTGCAAAACAATAAGTATTGGCATATTTGCTCTATTTCCACAGAAGTGTATGTTAACCTAAAAATGCATTTACTGTATTCTGAGTCATTAAAATACGACTTACTGTAAATATGTGAAAGCGCTACTACCATAATAGAAGAGATACAGTAGCATCATTGTTAAAAATTTATATATAATTTATTGCAACTTTCTGAAACTGTGAAATGGTACAAGTACATTGTATCATGTGTACGCCTACTTGTCAAATTTCATCTTACCACGATGTACGCCTACTTGTCAAATTTCATCTTACCACGATGTACGCCTACTTGTCAAATTTCAATCTAACCACGATGTACACCTACTTGTCAA